AAGGTCCCAGGTTCAATCCCTTGCATCTCCAGTTAAAAGGACCAGGCAGTAGGTGATGGGAAAGACCTCTGCCTGAGACCCTGGAGAGCCATGAACTGGGGCTGTAGCTCAGTGGCAGAGCCTCTGCTTGGCATGCAGAAGGTCCCAGGTTCAATCCGCGGCATCCCCAGTTGAAAGGACCAGGCAGTAGGTGGTGTGAAAGATCTTGGTCTGAGACCCTGGAGAGCCATGAACTGGGGCTGTAGCTCAGTGGCAGAGCCTCTGCTTGGCATGCAGAAGGTCCCAGGTTCAATCCCCGGCAGCTCCAGCTAAAAGGACCAGGCAGGAGGTGATGTTAAAGACCTCCCCTGAGACCCTGGAGAGCCATGAACTGGGGCTGTAGCTCAGTGGCAGAGCCTCTGCTTGGCATGCAGAAGGTCCCCGGTTCAATCCCTGGTATCTCCAGTTGAAAGGACGAGGTAGTAGGTGATGTGAAAGACCTCTGCCTGAGATCCTGGAGAGCCATGAAGTGGGGCTGTAGCTCAGTGGCAGGGCTTCTGCTTGGCATGCAGAAGGTCCCCGGTTCAATCCCTGGTATCTCCAGTAGGTGGTGTGAAAGATCTCGGTCTGAGACCCTGGAGAGCCACTCCCAGCCTGAATAGACAATACTGATCGTGATGGACCATGAGTCTGATTCAGTATAAGGCAGCCTCATGTGTTCAAGTGTCATAAATACGCCAAATGGCCGAGTTACAAACGGTTCGTGCTGTGTGATGCTGTAATATATATATTTTTTGCAACGTTTTAACATGCCACGTTAAGACCATCTTTTATAACAACAAACCCCCCCCCCTTTCCTTCTCTTCAGCTGAGCCACTATCTGGACATTGTGGAAGTGAACATCGCCCATCAGATCTCCCTCCGCTCCGAAGCGTTTTTCCACGCCATGACCTCCCAGCACGAGCTGCAAGACTACCTCAGGAAAACCTCCCTGGCTGTAAAAATGCTTCGAGACAAAATAGGCCAGATCGACAAAGTGATGTGTGAAGGGTCCCTTAATGTCTTAAGACTCTCCTTGACGAAAATTAACTGTATAAAAGTATACAATAAGCTGAAGCTGATGGCGGCCGTGCACCAAACACAGCCCACCGTACAGCTCTTGCTGTCCACTTCCGAATTCGTCGGGGCGCTGGATTTAATAGCAACGACGCAGGAGGTGCTACAGCAGGAACTCCAAGGCATTCACAGTTTCCGGTAGGAGGCATTTGGGAGGAGCGCAGTCATCTGTACAGTTTTATGATGATCAGTTTCAGGGAGTCATCTCTTATCTGTGCGGATGTAAAACTTATGTGTGGCCATTCCTAGGTGATACCAATTGATTCCCTTGTTCATCAGAGAGTCTGTCATTGCAATCAGGTGAAAAGAACCTCAGAAGAGCCCTGCTGGATCAGACCAGTGGTCCATCTAGTCCAGCATCCTGTCTCACACAGTGGCCAGCCAGTTCCTCTGGAGGGCCAACAACAGGGCAGAGAGGCCGAGCCCTTCCTAAGAACATAAGAAGAGCCCTGCTGGATCAGACCAGTTAAGGTCCATCTAGTCCAGAATCCTGTCTCACACAGTGGCCAGCCAGTTCCTCTGGAGGGCCAACAACAGGGCAGGGAGGATGAGGCCTTTCTAAGAACATAGGAAGAGCCCTGCTAGATCAGCCAGGGGTCCATCTGGTCCAGCATCCTGCCTCACACAGTGGCCAACCAGTTCCTCTGGAGGACCAGCAACAGGGCAGAGAGGCCGAGGCCTTCATAAGAACATCAGAAGAGCCCTGCTGTGTCAGACCAGTGGTCCATCTAGTCCAGCATCCTGTCTCTCACAGTGGCCAACCACTGGAACGCCAGCAACAGGGCAGAGAGGCCAAGGCCTTCATAAGAACATCAGAAGAGCCCTACTGGATCAGACCAGGGGTCCATCTAGTCCAGCATCCTGCTTCACACAGAGGCCATCCAGTTCCTCTGGAGGGCCAATAACACGGCACAGAGGCCGAGGCCTTCCCCTCATGTTGACTCCCGGCTCTGGGATCCAGAGGCTTAGTGCCTCTGAGTGTGGAGATTCCCCTCAGTCCCCATGGCTTGTAGCCACTGATAGACTTATCCTCCCTGAATCTATCTAATCCCCCGTTCAAGCTGTTTATCCCTGTTACCATCACTGCATCGTGTGGCAGCAGATTCCACATTTTAATCGCTTCCTGCGATTTTTTGTTAATTTTAAAAAAACCTTCCACCATATTCTGCCTTAGAGATGCCAAACGGCAGGTGGGACTTGGGGACCCCCGGTATTACAGCTCATCTCCAGACTACAGAGATCAGTGGCCCCCCTGGAGAAAATGGATGCTTTGGAGGGTGGACTCTTTGGCATTGCACCCCACTGGGGTCCCTTCCCCTCCCCATACCCCACCCTCCTCAAGCTCCAGCCCCCAAATCTGCAGGAATTTCCCCACCTGGAGTTGGCAACACTAGAAGAAGAGGACCAGGACTGCAGGACTTTAGGAAATCGTGGCTGCATGAATTCCAAGTTGTAATATTCCCTCTAAGCTGTGGAGTCTTGTGAGCAAAAATTCTACTTTGTGAGCTACAGGCATTAAAGCTGTGAGCGAGCGATTTGGCTGCTGTATGAATTAGTTTGCCCTGGAGCCCTCCTTCCTGAGCTAAGACAAAAATGTGTGAGCCAGAGGCTAAAAAACTGTGAGCTAGCTCACACGAACTCAGCTTAGAGGGAACACTGGTTGTAAGCAAGCTGAGATAGTGTAATGTGGTTGCTGCTTATATAGCCCAGACGTCAAGGGAAGCGTGTTAAAACATGACATTTCCATGGTCCATGAGGTAACTTTGTAAGTTCTCAATTCTTTCCACTTCAACAGAACGGCGTCTTTTTTAATATTAGATTAAAATTTATATGGAGCCTTTCTTTTCCAGAAAGCCAAAGATGGATTAATGCACGGCTATTTTTGGGCAGGAACGCACAGGAACGGAGTTCTGGCTGGCTCCCAAGTTGGCCACGCCCAGCAGGAACCTATTAGCATAATAGGCCACACCCAACAGCAGGAACGCATTAGGATTGGCTACATTAGGGGTGTGTGGCCTAACATGCAAAGGAGTCCCTGCTACGAAAAAAGCCCTGGGTTTTGACCACAAACAAGGGCAACATAAGAAGCAAAAGGTGGGCGTGGCTGGATGACCACACTTCTGGTAACATGGGTGTGTGGCCTAATATGCTAATGAGCTGTGCTGTCAGGGCTGTGGCCTAATATGCTAATGAGTTTCTGCTCTTGGGTGTGGCATATTATGCTAATGAGTTCCTGCTGGGCTTTTGGATTAATGTATGTTTTTTGCTGTTACTTAAGACAGCTGTTCTTTGAAATTTAAATAAGTTTCTATTTTGAAGAAAGCTGACAAGCATGGAAAGTGTCTTTTCCAGCAGATTGTTTCTCTCTCCTCTCTCTCTCTCTCTCTCCTCTCTCCTCTCTCCTCTCTCCTCTCTCTCTCTCTCTCTCTCTCTCTCTCTCTCTCTCTCTCTCTCTCTCATATGAACACCTCTGACGTCCATTAATGTTACAGTGTCATTCTCTGCTTCAAAGGAATGGAGCTCTACCTCTATCTGAGACTGACCTGCATAGTGTTTGTTAGAGTGTAGAAATTGCTTAAAATGTTGTACTGTATAAACCCCCCCCACACACATAAATATGGATTTTATCCAGCCAGGTTTTGGGTTGATACAAAAGGGAGGCCGCGGTGGTTCAAGAGGTTAAGACGCTGAGCTGCAGACCTGAAGGTCGATAGCTCTGCAGTTCGAGACCTGAGTGCCGCGGGACGGAGTGAGCTCCCGTCTCTAGTTCCAGCTCCTGCCAACCTAGCAGTTCGAAAGCAAGAAATTGCTAGTAGATCAATAGGTACCGCTTCGGTGGGAAGGTAACAGCGTTCCGTGCGAATGCGCATCGGACTTCAGTCATGCCAGCCACATGTCCACAGAGAAGTCTTCATACAGTGCTGGCTCTTTGGCTTGGAAACAGAGATGAGCACCGGCCCCTAGAGTCAGATACGACTAGCTTTCAAGCAAGGGAAACCTTTACCTAAAAGGGAGGGACCCTTTAAGACACACACACACACATACCTATGGCTATTCAAGGGATCCATGGGACAGGTGTGTTAGTAAGGAGGAGACTGAGCGCAGAAATCTTCATGGATCCAGCCTAAGGTTGCCAACCTCCAGGTAGTGACTGGAGATCTCCTGGGGTTAAAAATGGTCTCCACGGGATAGAGATCGGTTCACCCAGAGAAAACGGTTGCTTTGGAAGGGGGAGTTTATGGCATTGTACCCCGTTGAAGTCCCTCCTCTCCTCAAACCCCGCCCTTCCTAAGCTCCACCTCCAAAATCTCAAGATATTTCCCAATCCAGAGCTTCCAACCCTACATCTTTCTAGAGGTTAGGCGAACTCTTCTCTCCTGTCTCCCCCTTATTATCTAACTTTCACGTTTCTCTGTTTTTTTGTGACTAGGCACCTGGGGTCACAACTCTGTGAATTAGAAAAACTGATAGATAAAATGATGGTTGCAGAGTTCTCAACGTACGCCCGCAGCGACTTGAACAGACCCCTGGAGGAGGAATGTCAGATTCTGGAAGAGGTACCGTATTCTACATTTAAAAGACTTGTTTATATCGGCAAGAGCTGTTACCTGACGCCCTGAATACAACCCTAGTTCATCTGCGGCTAGGGCTTTCTCTCCAGATCAGAAACCCACATGAAATAATGGTTTCTGGTTTTTAGTTTGGGGGAAAAGCACTAACCCAAATCATGTTTCTCACTAAAAAGGAAATGGAAGGAAAAACAGAGAGAGGGACGGGAGGATGAAGATTCAGTAATAGTTCCATGGCTTCATATAGCGGTTCCAAAGATTCTTGAACCATTTACTTATTTTAATAATCTCTTTACGCACCGAATTCATAAATGCAAAATAAAAATAAGCATAAAGCCAGAGAATGTCATCAAAACTCAGCTGTGCAAAATGACTCAAAAGGAAAGTTAGAAGAAAACGTCCTCGTTCATTTTGGACCCATCGTTAAAACATTAAAAACAAAAACTAGATGCTGGGCGGGAGGGCAACTAAAAACCCCAGAACCACTGGCGAGCTGTTTCTAAATGTTTGGATGTTGAGAGAGAAGAATTGCTTACCCGTTCTATAGGCTTGTTGTTTGTTGGCAAGTCCGAGCAGATACGGGTATTATTTGGCGTGTGTTACCCAGAGAGCTCAGAGAAGGGAAGCCTCCTTTTGGTGTAGTAGTTACCGTAAGTGCGCGGATTCTAATCCGGGAGAACCGGGTTTGATTCCCCACTCCTCCTCCACTCGCAGCTTCTGGATGACCTTGGGGAAGCCATAGCTCTGTCAGGTATTCTTGAAAAGAGCAGTTTCTGTCAGAGCTCTCTCAGCCCCGCTGACCTCGCAGGGTGTCTGTTGTGGGGAGGGGAAGGGGAAGGATGATGTTTGTAAGCCGCTCTGAGCCTCCTTTGGGGAGTGAAGGGCGGGGTCTAAATCCAATCTCTTCTTCTTCTCCTTATAAGCAATGCAGGGCAGCATCCCCTAGTTGTGTACGATACAACTTCTACTTATACCAGTTATCCTGACATTGCTAGACAGTGTGTTTCTCCATCATGTTCCACATCAGTGGCTAGCTAGAGTGGGAAACACTCCAGGTCGTGTACAACACGGGAGAAGTTGCATTAATAATTTGAGGAATTCCTCAATTAGCCCGCTCTCTCACAGTGGCTCAGAGGTTAAGATGCTGAACTGCAGGCTGTGGAAGGTCGGTAGTTCAGCAGTTCGAGACCCGGGTGTGCCGCATGACGGAGTGAGCTCCCGTCTCTAGTTCTGGCTCCTGCCAACCTAGCAGTTTGAAAGCAAGAAATTGCAAGTAGATAGATAGGTACCGCTTCGGTGGGAAGATAACAGTGTTCCGTGCGCCTTGGCGTTTAGTCATGCCAGCCACATGACCACGCAGACGTCTTCGGACAGCGCTGGCTCTTCAGCTTGGAAATGGAGATGAGCACCACAACCCTAGAGTCGGATTCAATTAGCTTTTGAGCAAGGGAAACCTTTACCTTTACCCACAAATTTCAGGGTTACCCAGATGAGTGGTTGCTTTTTACACCGTTTTTATCTGACCGGAACCCTTACAGTTGCCAATTGAGTTGCAAGATACTTCCTAACTGCTGTGAGGATCCATGGGTTGGTTGTGAATGATTGTGAACAATATCTGTGTTTTACTTATACATTTTATTTACTTTATTTATTCGGTTTTTTAGGCCGCCCTTCCCTGCAAGCAGGACTCAGGGCTGCTTACAATAAAATCCAATATAACAATATACCACAAAATACAAGACTACCAAAATTAAAAGTTAAAAGCCTACAATAACTAACAGCTTATACATAAAAACAGTCAGCTCGGGATGGCAGAAAATAGTTTAACGATCAAATTTGCACAGACCCCCCCGGGGGGGGATATGGGGTTCGGGGTGGGGTTTGGGGTATGAGAATGCTGGTCCTCATA